ACTGAATCTATTCTTCCCTTCACTTTCCCCTTTCATGTAGTGTTGGGAAGCAAATCTAGACATCAGATAATTTCATCTATACATATTTTAGTAACTACCATACTCTTATAACACCTAAGGAAAATGAACAATAATTCTTTAATGTTCTTAAATATACAGTCACTGTTCAAATTTTCAGTTGTTTCAAATGTGTATTTTTTTTTTTTTTGAGGTGGAGTCTTGTTATGTCACCTAGGCTGGAGTGCAGTGGCATGATCTTGGCTCACTGCAACCTCTGCCTCCAAGGTTCCAGTAATTCTCCTGCCTTAGCCTCCTGAGTAGCTGGGGTTACAGGCATGTGCCATCATGCCTGGCTAATTTTTGTATTTTTAGTAGAGACAGGGTTTCATCATGCTGGCCAGGTTGGTCTCGAACTCCTGACCTCGTGATCCACCCGCCTCGGCCTCCCAAAGTGCTAGGATTACAGGGCATGAGCCACCATGTCAGGCCTCAAATGTGTATATTTTTATAGTTTGCTTGTTTGGATCAGGATCCAGGTAAGTTTCACATGTTAACATTTTGTTGATAGACCTCTTTAGTCTCTCTTGATCTACAGTTTACCTTTCCTTCTGTTTTCTTTTCTTTGCAACTTATTTGTTGAAGAAACACATTCCTTTGTCCTGCAAACTCTACAGAATTTCCTGAAGTCTAAATTTTGCTGATCAGTATATACAGCATTTTCATCTCCCCTCAGAAAGACCTGGGTGTGTTTGCATGTGTCTGTCTGGGGACTTCATGAGTTTCACTGGTTTCAGACCTTTTTAATGCCATATTCTGAGTTTGGGGTCTGTAAATCATCTAGGTAGTATGAATTTGGACCAGGTACCCATGTATGTCCTGGGCTGGAGGTTTCAGTTTTTCATAGGAGATTTGCTAAGACCAGAGGAGATGTTATAGACTTCTTTAGGCAGGTTGTTAATCTCCAGGTCTCTTTGCTTCCAGGATATACTGCCTCAGCTCCTTTCTGGACTTTGATACTCTACCTTGAAACCATTCAGAGTTATAAACTACTCTGTTTTTCTTCTTTCCTAGGTACTTTCAAGTTTGTATTTTCTTAATTTTTGGCAACTCTGGGGTTTCTATGCCTGGTTTCAGTTTAGCTATTTATCCAAAAGTTATTTTGTGATTTTTATTTTTTTAATATCCAGCCTTTGTATGTTTGAAAAGGGTTGAAAGGCTAGCATCTTTGTCTGCCATATTGCTCGAAATGTTACTAGCAATTTCTCTACATCTGAACTTCTTGGAGTAGATATTTTATTTGTGCTCCTTTTTTTTTCTGAGATGGAGTTTCGCTCTTGTTACCCAGGCTGGAGTGCCATGGCGCGATCTCGGCTCACCGCAACCTCCGCCTCCTGGGTTCAGGCAATTCTCCTGCCTCAGCCTCCCGAGTAGCTGGGATTACAGGCACGCGCCACCATGCCCAGCTAATTTTTTTGTGTTTTTAGTAGAGATGGGGTTTCACAATGTTGGCCAGGATGGTCTCGATCACTTGACCTTGTGATCCACCTGCCTCGGCCTCCCAAAGTGCTAGGATTACAGGCTTGAGCCACTGCACCCGGCCTATTTGTGTTCTTAAAGCAGTTTGTCTCCCTTTGTTGTATAATCTGTGAACATTTTTTTTCGTCTTTTGAAAGATTCTAAATTTTTTGAGATTAGAAAACAGTTCTACAAAATAATACAAAAATTAACCAGGTGTTGGTGACTCGCACCTGTAGTCCCAGCTACTCTGGAGGCTGAGGCTGGAGAATCCCTTGAGTCCGGGAAGCAGAGGCTGCAGTGAGCTGAGATTGTGCTGCTGCACGGCAGCCTGAGCAACAGAGTGAGACTCTGTCTCCAAAAAAAAAAGGAAGAAAGAAAAAGAAACAGCTTGGCTGGGTGTAGCAGCATGTATCTTCTTGGAAAGCAACTCTCTTGAGCTCAAGAATTGGAGGCTGCAGTGAACTGTGATCACACCACTGCACTCCAGCCATGGTGACAGTGAAAATGAAACGTGCTTACAGTCTGATTGGAGAGGCAGTAGTAAACTGTGTGGAAATGAGGTTTTTCCCAAAGTGTCACAGTTACCAACCAGATTGACCTGGACGATTTCAGTAAATAAGGATGTACTATAATAACAATACTAAATCATTGATTTAGTGTTGATTTAGAGTAGAGACTATATCTTGAATTTTTTTGTGTCTTCTGAGTTTCTGAATTCCATCTAAAGTAGGTAAGTACCAATTTGGATTATTGATTTAGAAAATATTTAATGGGACCAGGCATGATAGCTCATGCCTCTAATCCCAGCACTTCAGGAGTCTGAGGTGGGCAGCTCACTTGAGGTTAGGAGTTCTAGACCAGCCTGGCCAACATGGAAAAACCCCATCTCTACTAAAAATATAAAAGTTAGCATTGCATGGTGGTGCAAGCCTGTAATCCCAGCTACTTGGAAGACTGAGGCACGAGAACTACTTGAACCCGGGAGATGGAGGTTGCAGTGAGCCAAGATTGTGCCACTGTGCTCTAGCCTGGGTAACAGAATGAGACTCTGTCTCAAAACAAAAAAAAAAGAAAGAAAGGTTCAATTGAAGACTACATCCCAGCATTATGCAATATATCCATGTAACAAACCTGCAGAAAGAACGGAAAGAAGGAAGGAGGGAGGGAGGGAGGAAGATTCAGTTGAAGCCCACACCCCAGCATTATGCAATATATTCATGTAACAGACCTGCACATGTACCCCCAAATCTAAAATTTTTGAAAAGAGAGTAAAGAAAATATTTTTTTTCCAAAAAAAGAAAATATTCAATACACTAGGCGCTGTGCTACGTATTGGGAATATAGTGGTGACTATGGTCACCTCATAGAAGGTTGAATGTGATGGAATAATATATATATATATATATATATATATATTTTTTTTTTTTTTTTTTTTTTGAGACGGAGTTTCGCTCTTGTTACCCAGGCCAGAGTGCAATGGCCGTGATCTTGGCTCACCGCAACCTCTGCCTCCTGGGTTCAGGCAATTCTTCTGCCTCAGCCTCCTGAGTAGCTGGGATTACAGGCACGCGCCACCATGCCCAGCTAATTTTCTGTATTTTTAGTAGAGACGGGGTTTCACCATGTTGACCAGGATGGTCTTGATCTCTTCACCTCGTGACCCACCCGCCTTGGCCTCCCAAAGCGCTGGGATTACAGGTGTGAGCCACTGCGCCCAGCCGGAATAATATATTTAACAAATGACTGCTCAGCAGTGAATGCCTGCATGTCTTAATGCTACCATGGAGGTAAAAAAAACAGCGTGTCATGAAAAAGTTTAACAGGACACAGAATTTAGATTGCCGAGTCAGAGGAAGGTCTCTGTGAGGAAGTAACATAGTAGTTGAGAGGATTTGGATGAGTTATAAAGTTATAATATATATATATATATTATATATTCCTAACCAGGCAAAGAATCATGTTACCAGTGCTTCATGTAGAGGTAGTAGCATATGTGTGCAACTTATGAGCTGTAAGAAAGCTAAGGTAGGTGGAATATAGGGGACAGGGAGAAACAGTAGTAAAAGATTAGGTCAGAAAGATAGGCAGGCATCAAAGCTGGGGGCAGTGGCTCAGGCCTTAATACCAGCACTTTGGGAGGCCTAGGCAGGAGTATTGCTTAAGCCCAAGAGTTCATAGACTGTGCTAGGCAACATAGTATGACCCCGTCTCTACAAAAAAATAGAAAAATTAGCCAGGCATGGTCGTGCATACCTGTAGTCTAATTACTGTCTGGGGCTGAGGTGGGCGGATTGCTTGAGCCCAAGAAGGAGATTGAGGCTTCAGTGAGCCATAATCATGCCACTGCCCTCCAGCTTTTGGGACAGAGGTGAGACTGTCTCTCAGGGAGGAAAAAGAAAGAAAGAAAGAAAGGCCAGGCACAGTGGCTCATGCCTGTAATCCCAGCACTTTGGGAGGCCAATTACTTGAACCTGGGAGGCAGTGAGCAGAGATTGTGCCATTGCACTCCAGCCTGGCAACGGAGCAAGACTCCATCTCAAAAAAGAAAAAAAGAAAAATTAAGCAGCTGAATATAGAAACTGCCAGTATTCGTTAATAGGACATATTTTCAAACTAAAGCAACACTTTTTCTAAGTTCTGTTTTTAAAACTCATTTAGTAGGATGCACCAATTTTTAGTCATTAAAGGAATACAGTGAATTGTAAAATACATAAAATTTTGTTTTTAGGCAAAGTAGTTGTATAACTTGTTTTTGTTTTTATTTATTTTTTTTGAGACAAAGTTTCACTCTGTCACTCAGGCTGGAGTGCAGTGTCGTGATCTTGGCTCACTGCAACCTGAGTTCAAGCAATTCTCCTGCCCCATCCTCAAGCAATTTCCCTCCTCCGCCTCCCTAGTAGCTGGAATTACAGGCTCAAGCCACAGCACCCAGCCTTAAAATGTTATTTTAAATAGCAGTTCTAAAATTTTAGGACGTATAAACCATTATGATGTGATTAGAAATCCTTTCATTCTGCATTATTATAGACATACTCTACTCTTGGTGTGTTTTTGAATTGTTACACTCAAGACTGAACTGAGATTTTTGAGGTGGTCATATTGACCAGCTCTGTTTTCTGGACATTACCTTTGCCATTATTTTGATAACTTTACATTGACTCTCCAGTTTTGTTTAAGTAAAAAAGTTAACAGGTTAACATTTCTTTAAAGATTTTTATCTGTATTTAATAAATACATAATTATATAGTACTCTGTAGTACTTACCATGTTCCAGGTACTGTTTGTTCTAGGGGGTTTACAAATACCAATTTATAATGATTATATACAACTACTAAAATATTTTTATATGAATTGTAGAAATTTGTTAGTGTTACATTTCTTTTAAGCATCTTTCCTGAAATAAATCAAATTACATTTATCAAATATGATTAAAAATAAAATTGTAGAATTTTAAAATCATAATTATTTGTTTTTTATTTCAGCTTTACCAACAGGGACGCTTATGTCAACTGGGCAGTGAATTTTGTGAATTGGAAGTTTTTGCTAAAGTACTGAGAGCTTTGGATAAAAGGTAAATTCTTTTTTAAAAAATTGTGGTAAAATATACATAACATAAAGTTTACCATTTTAACCAAATTCAATGGCATTAAGTATATTCACATTGTGCAACCATCAGCACCATTCATTTCCAGAACTTTTTCATTACCCTAAACAAAAACTCCTTACCCATTAAATAGTAACTCCACATTCCCTCCTCCCCTTATCCTGTGCAGCTGCCATTGTACTTGAGATGAGTTTGACTGCTCTGATATCCCGTATAAGTGGAATCCTATAATGTTTATCCTTTTGTGTGTGTTGTATTTCATTTAGCATAATTTTTTTTTTGAGACGGAGTTTCACAACCTCTGCCTCCTGGGTTCAAGTGATTTTCCTGCCTCAACCTCCCCAGTAACTGGGATTACAGACATGCGCCATCATGCCCAACTAATTTTGTATTTTTAATAGAGACAGGGTTTCTCCATGTTGGTCAGGCTGATCTCAAACTCCTGACCTTAGGTGATCTGCCTGCCTCGGCCTCCCAAAGTGCTGGGATTACAGGCATGAGCCACTGCACCCGCCCTCATTTAGCATAATGTTTTTAAGGGTCATCTATGTTGTAGTACAAGTCAGAATTTCATTTCTTTTTGTGGATAGATTATATTCCATTGTGTGCATATACCACATTTTGTTTATTCATTTGTCATGTCAATGGATATTTGGGTTATTTCTATCTTTTGGCTAGTGTGAATAATACTGCTCTGCACATGAGTATAGAAATGACTTTTGAAGTCCCTGCCTTGTGTTATTTTGGTTATATACCCAGAAGTTGAATTGCTGGATTATATGGTAATTCTATCTTTATTTGTTTATTTTTTGAGAGACTTAGTTTCACTATATTGTACAGGCAGGCCTCAAACTCCTGGGCTCAAGGGATTCTCCGTTCTTAGCCTCCCTGCTAGCTGGGACTACTGGTGTTCTGCCATTGCACCCAACTCCTGTTTCCAGTTTTTTTGAGGAACTGTCCTACTGTTTTCCATACTTTTTTTTTTTTTGAGACATATTCTTGCTCTGTTGCCTAGGTTGGAGTTCAATGGCATGTTCATAGCTCACTGCAAACAAACTCTCCTTGGCTTAAAGCCATTCTCCCAACTCAGCCTCCTGAGTAGCTGGGACTATAGGCACATGCTACCACACCCAACTAATTTTTTTTTATTTTTAGTGAAGATGAGGTCTCTCTAGGTTGCCCAGGCTGGTTTCGAACTCCTGGGGCTCAAGTGATCCTCTTGCCTCAGTCTTCCAAAGTGCTGGGACTTAAATACAAATTTTTTTTTTTTTTTTTTTTAAACAGAGTCTCACTCTGTTGCCAGGCTAGAGTGCAGTGACACAGTCTCAGCTCACTGCAACCTCCACCTCCCGGGTTCAAACAATTCTCCTGCCTCAGCCTCCCGAGTAGCTGGGATTACAGGCACGTGCCACCACACCCGGCTAATGTTTGTATTTTTAGTAGAGACGGGGTTTCACCATGTTGGCCAGGATGGTCTTGATCTCTTGCCCTCATGATCTGCCTACCTTGGCCTCCCAGAGTGCTGGGATTGCAGGCATGAGCCACCGTGCCCAGCCAAATTCATTTTTAAGTTACTTTTTAAAAAAATTCCACTACAGCTCTTTTTCTTTTTTAAATCTATTTATTTAACTTTAGGTGCATATTATATCTGGCATTTCTCCCTGTGTTATCCGCCCCCCCCCCGCCGAAGTTACATTTATTTTGGCTAATGTTTTATGTGGTTTAGAAATTATTTCATAAATCTGATTATATCAGAAAATTTAGAATGGATAAAATAATTTTGCCTAGTAAGTGTAGAACCAATATAAATCTATAAAATTGTTTCATTGAGAAATTGTTTCAATTGGTTTTTCCATATGCCTGGTATTATTTTACTATGAATTATGTTTATTTGCACTTGTTACCAGAACCCCTGTCTTACACTTTTTTCCAGTCACTGCTTCCCCTCCCCTAGGGTAACCACTAGATTCATTTTATGTATTTTAGAACATATTAAATAAAATTATACAGTTTGTGCACTTTCGTGTCTGGCTTTTTTCCCCCCCAGTATTGTTTTATGAGAATCACTTATGCGCATTTACAGTGTGTTCATTCTCACTGCTGTGTATATATATGGTGTTTTATTATATGAATATGTTTTTATTTATTCATTCTATTGTTGATGGACATTTGGGCTCTTTCCAGTTTTTAGCTATTATATCTAATGCTACCCTGAACATTCTTGTAAATGTTTTTTGGTGAACATATGTATGCATATCTATAGATACATACCTAGAAGTAGAATTTGAAACAATTTAAGACAACTCAAGGAGTCTTTGCCAGCATCATAGAAAATATAGTAAAAATACTGTGGCAGTAATTATACAGCCCCAAACAGAAGCTTGGTGACAAAGAGAAGATAATTTGTTCTGCCTGCTTCTATCCCCTTTGGAAAGTTAAAACATTTTGGCAGTTTAGCTTTTTGAGTTCAAAAAAAGGGAGATTGAATTCATCTTCCTGTTGTAAATATAGTCATGTAGAAGTAGCTACAGATCTGGCTTTTCATTGTATTTGCTATTGTCTTTTTTTTGTTTTTTGAGACAGGGTTTCACTTTTATTACCCATCCTGGAGTACAGTGGCAAGATCATGGCTCACTATAGCCTTGACTTCCAGGGCTCAGGTGATTGATTCTCCTACCTCAGCCTCCGGAGTGGCTGGGAATACAGGCATGCACCACCACACCTGGCTAATTTTTCTAGTTTTAGTAGAGACGGGGTTTTGCCATGTTGCCCACGCTGGTATCAAACTCCTGAGATCAAGCCATCCACCTGCTTTGGCCTCCCAGATTGCTGGGATTACAGGTGTGAGCCACCATGCCTGACCTACTTGCTGTTCTCTTTAGTGTTCTTTGCTAAGTTTAACTGCCATTTTCTTTCCTAACTTGAATTTCTAGGAAAATATGAGTATAGCTTCACAAAATACTGCTGATCTCTAATAAGAATCTTACAAAGTTGTTGGCGTTTATTCAACAGATTAAATACTTGTTGAGTGTTTAATATGCTTCAGGTACTGTTTTGTTTTGTTTTATTTTTATATTTTTATGTTTTTAGGGGTACCTAGGTGCATGCATTTATGGGTTATATAAGATACTTTGATACAAGCATGCAATGTGTAATAATCACATCAAGGTAAATGAGGTATTCGTCACCTCAAGCATTTATCCTTTGTGTTACAGACAATTCAGTTATATTCTTTTAGTTATTAAGATGTAGAATTAAATTATTTTTTTATTATAATCCTGTTGTGTTAGCAAATAGTAGATTTTATTCTGCCTGTTTTTTTGTACCCATTAACCATCTTCATTTGCCCTCTTCTCCCCAGTTACCTTTCCCAACCTCTGGTAATCATCCTTCTTCTATCTCCATGAATGCAATTATTTTAATTTTTAGCTCCCACAAATAAGTGACTACATGCAAAGTTGTTCTTTCCTTGGCTGGCTTTATTTTACCTACCATATATAGTTCCATGCATGTTATTGTAAATGGTGGGATCTCATTCTTTGTTTTTTTTTGTTTGTTTGTTTGTTTGTTTTGAGACAGAGTTTCACTCTTGTTGCCCAGGCTGGAGTGCGATAGCGTGATCTCAGCTCACCGCAACTGCCACCTCCTAGGTTCAAGCAATTGTCCTGCCTCAGCCTCCTGAGTAGCTGGGATTACAGGCATGTACCACCACACCTGGCTAATTTTGTATTTTTAGTAGAGACAGGGTTTCTTTATGTTGGTCAGGCTGGTCTCGAACTCCTGACCTCAGGTGATCTGCCCACCTCAGCCTCCCAAAGGGCTAGGATTACAGGCGTAAGCCACCACGCTTGGCAAGGATCTCATCATTCTTTTTTATGTCTGAATAGTAGACCATTGTGTATATTTAGTACGTTTTCCAGATACTGTTTTAGATCCTGGGACCATAGCAGTGAATATGATCCACAAGGTCCCTTCCTCATGGAGTTTGTATTTTAGAGAGGGATGATGAGATAATAAACAAGTAAATTGGCTGGGCACAGTGACTCGCGCCTGTAATCCCAGCACTTTGGGAGGCCAAGGCAGGTGGATCACTGGAGGTCAGGAGTTCAGCCTGGCCAACATGTTGCAACCTTGTCTCTGCTAAAAATACAAAAATTAGCCAGGCTTGGTGGTGGGTGCCTGTAATCCCAGCTACTCGGGAGGCTGAGGGAGGAGAATCTCTTGAACCTGGGAGGGAGAGGTTGTGCTGAGGTGAGATCGTGCCACTGCACTTCAGCCTGGGCGACAGAGTGAGACTCCGTCTTAAAAATAAATAAATAAACAAGTAAGCAAATAGCATGATTTCAGGGTTTAAGGATAATTTTGAAATATGGCCTATGTACTAAGACTGTAGAGAGACTTCTTGATTAGTTGATTAAAGTTAGTCTGTAAGAAAAACTAATAAATGAGAACTTATCATTTTGGTAAAAGAAGACTAGAAAAACTTTAAAAAATATTCCTGACTCTAAGGAAAAGTTAGCTTTCGGGGATTTGAATCTCTCTAGGTAGTTTTAAACATGGCTGTTGTAAAGATTTAGTGGAATACCTCTCTTTCATCTCTTAGGTTATCTTTCACCAAGTCCAAATCCTTTGGTAAGTGTTTTATGTATTTGTGAAACTAAAAGCATGTAAATTGGCCTTTTTTTTCTTTATCCAAATCAGTGACTTTGTTGTTTACAATTTTGTTTAAAAGCTTTTTTTCTATTGAAACATAATTCACACACTGTAAAATTCACTAGTTTAAATGCTACCATTCAACTATTCACAAGATTTTGCAACCATCACCACTATCTAATTCTAGAAAATTTGATCACCACAAAAAGAAATCATTAACAGTCACTCCATTTCCTCTTACTCTGGCTTACCATTTTTTCAGTTAACAGTCACTCTATTTTCTCAGTTACTGGGTGACCATTAATCTACTTTCTGTTTCTATAGATTTGTCTATTCTAGATATTTTATATAAATGGAGTCTTATATGGTCTTTTGTGACTGACACTTTCACTTAGCATAACATTTTCAAGGTTCATTCATGTTGTTGCTTGCATCAGTACTACTTTTTTTTTTATGGCTGAATACTTTCCCATTGTAAGGATAATACTGCATTTTGCTTATCCAGTCATCTGTTGATGAACGTTTGAGTTGTTTCCACCTTTTGACTATTATGAATAATGCTGCTGTGAATGTGGCTAAACAATATTTTGTGTGTATATAGTCTCAGTTCTGTTGAGTATAGACCTAGGTTGTATAATATGGTAACCCTATGTTAAACGTTTTGAGGAACCACTAAATTGTTTTTTGTAGCAGCCGTACCATTTTGTATTCCCACCACCAATGTATGAGAGTTCCCGTTTTTGTTTTTGTTTTTTAACCATGTGACCACTTCAAAAAAATTATAGAAGGGTGTAGTGATGGGTGTCCAGAGAGCCTTCAGCTACTCTGGAGGCCGAAGCAGGAAGATCTTAATTGAGACCAGGAGTTCAAGGCTATAGTGAGCTGTGGTCATGCCACTTCTCTGTAGTTCGGGTGACAGAGCAGGGCCTTGTCTCTAGAACATAAATAAATAAATAAATATATTTTAAAATTCTGTTGGGTTTAAAGTGTTACTTCCATCATGATTTTGATTTGCATTTCCCTAATCATTAATAATGTTGAACTTCTTATTTTGTGTTTATTGGCATTTGTATATCTTTTGTGGAGAAACAGCTGTTCATATCTTCATTACCTTTTAAGAATTGGATTATGTACCTTTTTATTGTGGATTACAATTTGGTTTTTAGAGCCAATTTTAAAAGTTAGCTTCATCATTCCTTGTCATCGAATTACACATTGTGTACTTTTCCTGAATGTTGTAGGATCACTCAGTTATCTACTGAGTAAAGATATTAGGCTAAATTTTGAATTTTGGCCTCATAATTGATAAGGCAAAATGCTTTTTATCTTATTCCATCCTGGAAAATAATGGTGCTATTATTTAAAAGAGAAGAGAAGCAGCACTTTCTAAAAGGAGAAAAATAAATTACCTCTATAAAATAAACTTTTTCTTTTCTTACAGACATTTGCTTCATCATTGTTTTCAGGCTTTGATGGATCATGGTGTTAAAGTTGCTTCAGTCTTGGCCTACTCATTCAGTAGGCGGTGCTCCTATATAGCAGAATCAGATGCTGCAGTAAAGGAAAAAGCCATTCAGGTTGGCTTTGTTTTAGGTAAGTAATGGTAAAACAGAAGTGTTTTGTCCTGTGATGGACTCAGAATTAAACCTGCTAACAAAAAATTCTTCCAGGATTTTTTCAGAGTCTGCATAAGAAGATTATGAGAAGAACATCAGAACTATTTAACTCTGTGCCAAAGCACTATACTATATATTTGGATAGTGTCTTTCTAAATCCTCATGACATTCTAACTAAGTGTTGGTATTAATAGCATTTTACAAATGAGGAAACAGACTCAGAAAAGTTGAGTAACCGGCTCAAGTCACATAGCTAGTAGAGCTAAGTTTAGAATCCTTTGTCTGTGTGATTCTAAGGTACTTATTTTTCTACCATGTCATGCTGCCACCAGCCTCTTTCACCTACATACTGTAGGCTGTGTCAGGGAACTTCATCCTTTTGGAGCCTCAGTTTTTCCATCTCTAAAATAAGGATTATTTTTTATTTCCTCATGGGGATGTTATGAGGATAGTAGCAACATTGTGAGACCTTAAAAATACATGATAGGGCCAGGTATGGTGGCTCATGCCTATAATTCCTAGTACTTTGGGGGACTGAGGCTGGTGATCACTTGAGATCAGGAGTTTGAGACCAGCCTGGCCAACATGGCAAAATCCCATCTCTACTAAAAATACAAAACTTAATTGAGTGTGGTGACACATTGTCAATAATCCCAGCTACTCAGGAGGCTGAGACATGAGAATCACTTGAACCTGAGAAGCAGAGGTTGCAGTGAGCCTAGATTGTGCCACTGCACTCTAGCTTGGGTGACAGGGAGACTCTGTCTCAAAAAAGAAAAAAAAAAGGCTGGGTATGGTGGTTCTCACCTGTAATCCTAGCACTTTTGAAGACTGAGGTGGAAGGATCACTTGAGCCCAGCAGTTCAAGACCAGCCTGGGCAACATAGCGAGACCTCATCTCTAAAATAAATTTTAAAAATAAATAAATAAATGATAAATATAAAAGTAGAAAAAAGTTTTGTGTGCTATACATGTAGAAAAATCTGTTTAATGTTTGTATAAAATTTTATATGGTTTTCACATATCTGTATAGATAAACATGTTTCAGGCAATTGCATATTAAAGTTTTTGCTACCTTTTTTGTTATTTTGTTTTATTATTTTATTTTGAGACAGGGTCTCACTCTTGTCACCCAAGCTAGAGTACAGTGGCACAATTGCATTAGTTCATTTTCATGCTCCTAATAAAGACATTCCCAAGACTGGGTGATTTATAAAGCAGAAGGCGTTTTAGTGGACTCATAGTTCCACGTGTCTGAGGGGGGGGCCTCACAATGATGGCAGAAGGTGAAAGGCACATCTTACGTGGTGGCAGATGAGAGAATGAGAGCCAAGTGAAAGGGGAAACCCCTTATAAAACTATCAGCTCTTGTGAGACTTATTTTTAGCATGAAATATGTATGAATGGCATGAAACAGTATGGGGGAACCACCTCCATGTTTCAGTTATCTTTCACTGATCCTTCCCACAACATGGGAATTATGGGAACTACAAGATGAGATTTGGGTGGGGACACAGCTAAATCATATCATTCTTCCCCTGGCCCCTCCAAAATCTCAGGTACTCACATTCTGACACCAATCATGCCTTCCCAACAGTCCCTCAGAGTCTTTTTTTTTTTATTTTTGAGACGGAGTTTTGCTCTTGTTACCCAGGCTGGAATGCAATGGCGCAATCTCGGCTCACGGCAACCTCCGCCTCCTGGGTTCAGGCATTTCTCCTGCCTCAGCCTCCTGAGTAGCTGGGATTATAGGCATGCGCCACCATGCCCAGCTAATTTTTTGTATTTTTAGTAGAGACGGGGTTTCACCATGTTGACCAGGATGGTCTCGATCTCTTGACCTCGTGATCCACCCACCTTGGCCTCCCAGAGTGCTGGGATTACAGGCATGAGCCACTGTGCCCGGCAAGTCCCTCAGAGTCTTAACTCATTTCAGCATTAACTCAAAGGTCCACAGTCCAAAGTCTCATCTGAGGCAAGACAAGTCCTTTCTGCCTATGAGCCTGTAAAATCAAAAGCAAGTTAGTTTATTTCCTAGATACAGTGGGGGTACAGGCATTGAATAAATACAGTGATTCCAAATGGGAGAAATTGGCTAAAATGAAGGGGCTAACGGACCCATGCAAGTCTGAAATCCAGCAGAGCAGTCACATCTTAAAGCTCCAAAATGATCTCTTTTGACTCCATGTCTCCCATCCAGGTCATGCTGATGGAAGAGGTGGGTTCCCATGGTCTTGGGCAGCTCCACCCCTGTGGCTTCACAGGGTACAGCCTCCCTCTCAGCTGTTTTCACCGGCCAGCATTGAGTATCTGTGGCTTTTCAGGCACACAGTGCAAGCTTTCAGTGGATCTATCATTCTGGGATCTGGAGGACAGTGACCCCCTTTTTGGAGCTCCAGCAGGCAGTGCCCCAGTGGGGACTCTGTTGAAGGGCTTCAACCCAACATTTCCCTTTCACATTGCCCTAGCAGAGGTTTTTCATGAGGGCTCCAACCTGAAGCAAATTTCTTCCTGGACATCCAGGCATTTCCATACATTCCGAAATCTAGGCAGAGGTTCCCAAATGTCAGTTCTTGACTTCTCTGCACCCATAGGCTCAACACCACCTGGGAGCTGCCAAAGCTTGGGACTTGAAACTATGGTCTGAGCTGTACTTTGGTCCCTTTTAACTATGGCTAGAGCAGCTGGAATACAGGGGACCAAGTCCCTGGGCTGCACGCAGCAGTGGGGTCCTGGGCTCAGCCACAAAACCACAAGAGTGTTTTTTTCCTCCTAGGTCTCTGGGCCTATGATAGGAGGGACTGCCACAGAGGTTTCTGAAATGCCCTGGAGACATTTTCTCCCTTGTCTTAGAGATTAACATTATGTGAATATCTATAGCCAGCTTGCATTTCTCCTCCAAAAATGGGTTTTTCTTTTGTGTCACATCCTCAGGCTACAGATTTTCCAAATTTTTTGCTCTTTTTCCTTTTAAAACTGAATGCTGGCTAGGCGCAGAATCCCAGTACTTTGGGAGGCTGAGGCAGGCTGATCACCAGGTCAAGAGATTGAGACCATCCTGGCCAACATGGTGAAACCCTGTCTCTACTAAAAATACAAAAATTAGCTGGGTATGTAGTCCCAGCTACTGAGGAGGTTGAGGCAGGAGAATCGTTTGAACCCAGGAGTTAATAGACTCCATTAAAAAAAAACAAAAAAAAAACTGAATGCTGGCCAAGTGCAGTGGTTCATGCCTCTAATCCCAGCAGTTTGGAAGACTGAGACGGGTGGATTACTTGATATCAGGAGTTTAAGACCAGCCTGGCCAACATAGTGAAACCCTGTCTCTACTATAAATACAAAAACTAGCCAGGCATGGTGGTGGGAGCCTGTAATCCCTGAGCCAGCTACTCAGGAGGTGCTGGCTGAGGCAAGAGAATCACTTGAACAGAAAAAGTGGAAGTTGCAGTGAGTTGATAACTTCCCACTGCACTGCTGAGATCGCCTCACTGCACTCCAGCCTGGGTGACAAAGTGAGACTTCATCTCAAAAAATAAAAATAAATAAAACAGCTGGGCGCGGCGTCTCACACCTGTAATCCCAGTACTTTGGGAGGCTGAGGCGGGTGGATCACGAGGTCAAGAGATCGAGACCATCCTGGTCAACATGGTGAAACCATGTCTCGGCTAAAAATACAAAAATTAGCTGGGCATGGTGGCGCATGCCTGTAATCCCAGCTACTCAGGAGGCTGAGGCAGGAGAATTTCCTGAACCCAGGAGGTGGAGGTTGCGGTGAGCCGAGATCAGGCCATTGCACTCCAGCCTGGGTAACGAGCGAAACTCTGTCTCAAATAAATAAATACATACATACATACATACATACATACATAACAAAACAAGAGCCTGGCACGGTGGTTCACACCTGTAATCCCAGAACTTTGGAAGACTGAGGCAGGCAGATCATGAGGTCAGGAGTTTGAGACCAGCCTGGCCAACATGGTGAAACCCTGTCTCTACTAAAAAATACAAAAATTAGGCATGGTGGTGAGTGCCTGTAGTCCCAGCTACGTGGCAGGCTGAGGCAGGAGAATCACTTGAACCTGGGAAACGGAGGTTACAGTGAGCCGAGATCGCACCATTGCACTCTAGCATGGGCAAAAGAGCGAAACTCTGTTTCAATAAATAAATAAATAAGTAAAGCTTTTAGCAGCACCCAGGTCACCTCTTAAATGCTTTGCTGATTAGAAATTTCTTCTGCCAGGTACCCCAAATCATCTCTCTCAAGTTCAGAGTTCCACAAATCTCTGAGGCAGGGACAAAATGTTACCAGTCTCTTGGCTAAAACATAGCGAGAGTCACCTTTACTTCAGTTTCCAACAAGTTCCTCATCTCCATCTGAGACCACCTCAGCTGGATTTCACTATTCATATCATTATCAGCATTTTGGTCAAAGACAATGAAGAAGTGTTTAGGAAGTTCCAAACTTTCCCACATTTTTCTGTCTTCTTCTGGGCCCTCCAAACTTCCAAACTTTACCAGTTCCAAAGTTGCTTCCACATTTTCAGGTATCTTTATAGCAGTTCCCCACTCTACTGGCACCAATTTATTGTATTAGTTCATTTTCATGCTGCTGATAAAGACATACCTGAGACTGGATAATTTATAAAGAAAAAGGAGGCTTAATGGACTCACAGTTTCATGTGACTGAGGAGGCCTCATAATCATGGTGGAAGGTGAAAGGTACATCTTACATGGCAGCAGGTAAGAGAGAATGAGCCAACTGAAAGGGGAAACCCCTTATAAAACCATCAGATCTTGTGAGACTTATTCACTACCTTGAGAACAGTATTGATGAGACCATCCCTGTGATTTAATTCTCTCCCACCAGGTCCCTCCTACAAGACATGGGAATTATGGGAGCTATAATTCAAGATGAGATTCGGTGGGGACAGTCCAGCCATATCAGCAATTATAGCTCACTGTAACTTCAAACTCTGGGGCTCAAGCAGTCTTCATGCCTCAGCTTCCCAAGTAGCTAGGACAACAGGCATGTGCCACCACATCCAGCTATTTTATTTTTGTTGAGACAAGGTCTTGCTATGTTTTCCAGGCTGGTCTTGAACTCCTGGGCTCAAGCATTCCTCCCATACTACTGGAATTATAGGCATGAGCCATTACACTTCGCTCTTTTTTTCTTTATTAAACAAATTTTTTTGAAGTGACTAGATTAATAGGAAGCTGCAAAAGAGTACCCAGAATTCTTTGAACCATTCCTCCAGCTTCCCCAGTGGTCACATATTATATAACTGTAGGTCAATATCAAAACCAAGAAATTGACACTGGGTATTATACCATTAACTAGACTCCTGGCCCTATTTAGTTTTCACCAGTTTTTACATGCACTCATTTGTGTGTGTATGTGTCTGTACGGTTGATTCATGTAAAGAGTCATATAACCACCATCACTATCAGGATGCAGTACTATTTGATCACCACAAACTACTTTTGTTTTAGGGGGTGTTTTTTGTTTGTTTTTTTGAGATGGAGTCTGACTCTGTCACCCAGGCTGGAGTGCAATGGTGTGATTTTGGCTCACTGCAACCCCCGCCTCCTAGGTTCAAGCAGTTCTTTTGCCTCAGCCTCCCTAGTAGCTGGGATTACAGGCATGCACCACCACGCCCAACTAATTTTTGTATTTTTAGTAGAGACAGGATTTCACCATATTGGCCAGGCTGGTCTTGAACTCCTGACCTCAAGTGGTCTACCCACCTTGGCCACCAAAAGTGCTGGGATTACAACTGTGAGCCACTGCACCCAGCCCTATTTTTTATTTTAACTTCTCCCATTACTGTGTGCATGTGCTGTGTGTTTTCTGTCTTAAAAGTGTACACACATATACATACCTATCTTTCCCAGCAAATTTTAATAGTCATTTTCTTGTAATTTTTTTTTTCTTTGAGACAGGCTCATTCTGTCGCCCAGCCTGGAGTGTAGTGGCACGATCTCAGCTAACTGCAATCTCTGCCTCCTGGGTTCAAGTAATTCTCTTGCCTCAGCCTCCTGGGTAGCTGGGACTACAGGCGTACACCACCATGCCCAGCAAATTTTTGTATTTTTAGTAGAAACAGGGTTTCACCAATTGGCCAGGCTGGTCTTAATTTCCTGACCTCAGGTGATCCGTCCGCCTCAGTCTCCCAAAGTGCTGGGATTACAGGCGTGAGCCACCACACTGGCCTCTTTTCTTTAATCTTAGAATCATTCTTTGTGGTAGTCAAAGACAGCTTGCTGAAGGAACTTCAGAACATATTTTTTTGAAAGGGACCCTCAGCATTTATTTTTTAGTCTTAGGAATGTCAATAGCAACAAAGCATTGTCCAAAGAAAGTCTCTAAAAACTTGTGATCTTGACTGATGTTAAGGATGATACCCCTTTAGTTCTGGATGATCATGTAAAAATGTGTGCATAGGAGAAATTTAGTATCAAAGAAGATGAAAGGAAGACTAGTGTTCATGGAGGTCCTCAGTCATCTCCACATTTACTTATGCCAATCTGGCCATTGTAATGACCCAGATACACAGATACCTTGGAGGGAGAAACAAGTCCTGGCAAACTTATAGTTATCAGTCTTAATCCTGAAATTACCCAGAGAGTGAAAAAATTACCCAAAGAACTGTTCTGCATACATCACCACAATAAGTTTAGAACATTATTACCACCCCAAAAAGAAAACAGTACCCATTAGCACTCACTTCCATTTCCCTCCAACACCAGGCAAACATCATTCATTTTCTATCTCTCTAGATTTGTCTGTTCTGGACATTTTATATAAATGGACTCTTGAAATATATGGTCTTTGGCTGGGCACAGTGACTCACGCCTGTAATCCCAGCACTTTGGGAGACCGAGGCATGTGTATCACGAGGTCAGGAGTGTGAGACCAGCCTGGTCAACATGGTGAAACCCCATCTCTACCAAAGATACAAAAAAATTAGCTGGACATAGTGGCATGAGCCTGTAATTCCAGCTACTCGGGAGGCTGAGGTAGGAGGATCGCTGAACACGGAAGGCAGAGGTTGTAATAAGCCGAGATTAGGCCACTGCACTCTACCCTGGGTGGCAGAGCAAGACTCCATCTTGGTAGAAAAAAAAAGAAAAAAATATGTGATCTCTGTGGCTGGCTTATTTTATTTAGCATAATATTTTCAAAATCCATCCATGTTCTAGAGATATCATTTAATATAAAGAATATTTGTTTATTTAAGAGACAGGGTCTCGCTGTGTTACCCAGGCGTGTCTTGAACTTTTGGCCTCAATTGATCCTTCCACCTCAGCCTCCAAAAGTGCTGGAATTACAGGCCTGAGCCACTGTATCTGGCCTAATACAAATCATTTTTAACCAGATATTAGAGAACTAAAAAGACAAAAAGGGCAACAGTAGAGTATTAGGGACACAGCAGTAGAATATTAGGAATAGTAGAGTATTGTGAAAACTGGCTACCATACCTGTGGCTTGGGAAACCAAGAGAAGAGGTTGGAATTAGAAATTAGAAATTGTAGGGGTTTGCCCTGTAAAGCTGGGATGCTGTTAGGCTGTTACTGGTGCCTCAGAGGTCTGAAAAGAGGGCCATGGGTCTACGCTAGACCTCTAGGAGGGACAATCTGGGTGACTGTTGCTGGTGTTTGATGGAGTGCTGTGAAACTGGTTTTGCAAGCACTGGAAAACTGCAACTGGTATTGACTATTACTTAATGGAATGAACTACTACTACCAGAGTAAAGAAGCAAACCCCGGGGTGTTTTTGTCAGCAGGAACCTCACTAACACAAACAGGAAAGAAAGTGTCCTTTGCTCTTGCAGTCTTGCAGCCTTTCTCCAGTGCCTCCTATTGGCTGAGCCTAACAGGAAGCCAGCTAGCAAAGGAGAAATGTGGTTTGCAGAGTCCTTGCTCAGCATCCTCAAACATACTCTAGTAGTGTGAATTTGAAGCCGAAAGAAAATACTCTAATAACCAACCCAATACACAATATGCTGGGACAATAAATAGAATATTGCTTAGTATGAATATGAATAATAACCTCATTATTCTGCCCAACTTGGTGAGGAACCTAGAAAGTTCTAAAGCACAGTTCTCTTTAATTAATTTTAAAAATTGCTTAATTACATGTGGATTTAATTAAATATAAAATGTGAATCTAAGCAAAATACAGTATTTTGTTGACTCAGACATTAATACTATTGAGACACACTGTAATTTTTTATGTGCCAAGAAAAAAAATGCGGCCAATTATTGTAATATTACCATCAGTTTTATCATGTACTCTACTTTGAGAGGTTTTTTTTTTGAGATGGAGTCTCGCTCTGTTGCACAGGCTGGAGTGCAGTGGTATGATCTCTGCTCACTGCAGCCTCTGCCTCCCAGGCTAAAGCCATTCTCCCACCCCAGCCTCCTGAGTAGCTGGGACTACAGGCACTTGCCACCACACCTGGCTGGCTTTTATATCTTTTGTAGAGACAGGATTTTGCCATTTCACCCAGGCTGGTCTCAAATAATTTCAGAGATTTTTTTTAATGTGCAAAAAAACATGTTTTAGAACATACCATGATGGTATGTTACTTCGTGTTTTCTGGTTATTGTAACTAATCCTGAATAGCACTAAGAAATTATTCTTTAATAACTAATGTAGTATAGGGACTACAGACTTAGCCTCTGAAGTCAGATTGTATGGATTTGAATCTTTTCACTTGCTGAATTATAAGTGTTGGCTTTTCTGTGACTCAAGTTTTTTCATCTATTAAACTGGGGCAGTTATTTAAGTTGAAGGTGTGTTATGAAAGTTAAGTGAGTGAGTTCATGTAGAGTAGTTACCACAATACGAGGTGTTTTACACAGTGTAGTAACAGTGTATTAAATGTTAGTCATTTTTAGGGGTGAAATTCCTCAAAAAGATAATATTCTGAGTAAATAATATCCAGAACAGTAATTTCTTGCTTAAAAAAAAAAAGATAATTAAGCATCGAAGTCTTTTTTTTTAATCTGTATATCCTCCATTATGTGCTGCTTACTAAGAAGATTAAGTATATTCAGATTTGGCTGGGCACGGTACCTCACGCCTATAATCCCAGCACTTTGGGAGGCTGAGGCGAGTGGATCACGAGGTCAAGAGATCGAGACCATCGTTGTCAACAAGGTGAAACCCTGTCTCTACTAAAAATAAAAAATTAGCTGGGCATGGTGATGCGTGCCTGTAGTCCCAGCTACTTGGGAGGCTGAGGCAGGAGAATTGCTTGAACCCAGAAGGCGGAGGTTGCAGTGAGCCAAGATCATGCCATTGCACTCCAGTCTAGGTAACAACAGCGAAACTCTGTCTCAAAAAAAAAAAGAAAAAGTATATTCAGATTTATCTTCTTTGGGATTTCATATTGGGAGAAGCTAAAGTTGTATGTACACTGCAAGATAAAAATAGTAAAATAACTTAGCTCATTAGCTGGAAAATTACAACTCTTAGACCATGGAGTGAGTATTCTTAGAGAGTTGAAACTTTGACTTCTTATTCAAGGTCTTAGCCTTAATCCTCATTCCCCTAGTTCAAAATCTTTTTATAAAAATCTTACAATTCATATCTGTGTTAAACACAAGACTTTATTATCATGGGGTTTTTAAAATTTAGGCAATATTCACTGTCAGCATGTCATTTCAGCTTTCAGGCTATTTATCAAATGATGTTTCTTGTTTTTTAGGTGGCTTTCTTTCAGATGCAGGCTGGTACAGTGATGCTGAGAAAGTTTTTCTGTCCTGCCTTCAGTTGTGTACTCTACATGATGAGATGCTTCATTGGTTTCGTGCAGTAGAATGTTGTGTGAGGTAAGTTGGAACATATCCTGTAATTACATGCTCTAGTGGTATTTAGTAGCTTTTATAGTTTTAGCTGTTCTAAGTATATGCCAACATTTGAGTAACTCTCTGAGATGATATTTATATGTCATAGTTTTACTAGTCTGGCCTCCTCTCTCTCATCTCTAAAATAGTTAATCTGCTATAGGCAACTTAGGTTAGATTTGTGTATTGTGAACCAGAATGTGTTTCTTTTTTTTTGAAATGACATCTCGCTCTGTCACCCAGGCTGGAGTACAGTGTCGCGATCTTGGCTCACTGCAACCTCCACCTCCTGGGTTCAAGTTACTCTCTTGTATCAGCCTCCTGAGTAGCTGGAATTACAGGCATACACCACCATGCCCAGCTAATTTTTTGTATTTTTAGTAGAGATGGGGTTTCACCATGTTGATCAGGCTGGCTCAAACTCCCAACCTCAGGTGATCCACCTGCCTTGGCCTCCCAAAGTGCAGGGATTACAGGCTTGAGCCACTGAGCCTGGCCCAGAATGTGTTTCTCTATATCATTTTGCTTTGTCATAGCGCTTGTTTATTCATTCAGGAAGTATGTATTGAATAGTTATTAGTACTAGGAACTACAGTAGACATTGAATGCTAGGAAACTCCACAAATGTACTTTTTCTTGGGTGTTACTTTTGTACCCCTGCTTTGTTTATATTTCCGTAATTGTGCATAACAAGATTAGTGCTTTGCTTATGAACAACTTTCTTTGAAGATACATTTGTATTTATTACTTTTTTTATAGATACTCTTAAAAGTCAAGCAAATCTAAAAATAACTACTTTATTGTCCTGATTTTTGTCTGCACATGTTACATTTACCTTTAGCTATTTTCATACAGGTTTTCTCTTTGTCCCCCAATTTGATTTGGCATTTCTTAAAAAGAATTTTTTATGTAAAACTAAAAGAAAATAAAAATAAAGTCAAAAAATTAAACAGCGGAAATTCTGTATCCTAAGTTAATTATAAAAGTCCAATCAATTTATTGAATATACAATTTTCTCTTTTTATGGAATTAAGGTACATATTTCTAGGTATTTTTAGATGAATTAATTAAATCTGAATCCCTTCAAAGCCAGAATAGTCTTTTATAAAACTCTTGTATTTTTGTTTTGGGGTTTTTTAAATATATTTTTTACTTTATTTTTATTAGAGATGGGGTTTTGCTATGTTGTCCAGATTGGTCTCCAACTCCTGGGCTCAAACACTCCTCCTGCCTGGGCCTCCCAAAGTGCTGGGATTACAGGCATGAGCCATCACACCCAGCCAGATTACTGTTGATTTAAGCTAAAATTGAGTAAAACTCTTTTTTTTTTTTCCAGTTGAATTTCAGTCTTTTGAAGCTGTCATTGCCCTTTTTTATACAAGATTTATCTATGTCACATAGACATTCAAATAGTGAAGTTAGTTTTGCAATATGTGATCTTAATTATAAATAATATTTTAGAAGGTGACAATTTCCCACATCTGCTTTAGAAGTGTATGACAAATTATAGGAATATTTGTGTGCAGAAACTGTAAAAGGACTGGTATTTAGCCCTATAATTTATAGTACTCATAAAAATAATCTCTCATTTTTCCCCCCTTCTGCCTATTCTATATTTGACTAGACTATCCCATATGGGATTTGGGAGGTATGTATATAAACTGGTTAATTTAGAACAGAAAAGGCATTTTGTATGATTTTATCATAGATTATTCACTATAGCAGTCTTGACCAAAAGATAAAACACTTTCTTTTTTGTATATGCTTTAGTTTTTTTATTCACATATTCAGATTTAGTTCATCCAATTACCTGTGTTTCTTCTGATTTTAAGGCTCCTGTATAAATTTGGCTTTAGCCTTACCAAAAGGTTTAGTTTTCTCACAAGACAAATCGGTCTCCTTCTCTCCTTCCTAACTTGTCATCGTTAGCAAGTAGCTCACATCATTATGGTTATAGCAACTGTTAATAGGCAGTGAGAAGAGGGGAGGGCAAAAAGTGCATGCCAGCTGAGTCTTCTTTTTTAAATCAGAAAAAAATTGCTTTCCCAGAAGTCTAACCCTATCTCTTTGATTACCTGTCTTTTAAACTGGAAACTGGAACACATTCTACATAACTTCTAATCTGTATAATACAGTCTGAGAAGCAAAACATTTTTAATTGTGCATCAATGAATTTATGGATCTACATTAAGGAAGAAGACATGAGGAATATTGGATGATTTCTGGTAACTGGCTGGGTGCAGTGGCTCACACCTATAATCCCAGCACTTCGGGAGGCCAAGATTTGAGGATTGCTTGAGCTTAGGAATCGGAGACCAGCAAGACCCCATTTCTACAAAAAATTTTTAAATACATAAAAAGAATAATTAACAATTCAGAACTGGCTGTCCTTTCAGCAAGCACATGTGAAACTAGAATATTGTCTGGACCAAGGAACAAAGTCATTTATAATGCCAACTCACTGCCTGTATACCAGGATATTTTGTCTTTATGAATTTGAAATTTCAAAATAAAATTTGCCTCTATTTAACTAACCTTGCTGCTGGGCGTGGTGGCTTATGCCTATAATCCCAGCACTTTGGGAGACCGAGGGGCGTGGATCAACTGAGGTCGAGAGTTTGAGACCTCAACATGGAGAAACCCCATCTCTACTAAATATACAAAATTAGTCGGGCGTGGTGCCACCTGCCTGTAATCCCAGCTACTCAGGAGGCTGAGGCAGAAGAATTGCGTGAACCCAGGAAGCGGAGGTTGCGCCATTGTACTCCAGCCTGGGCAACAAAAGCGAAACTCCATCTCAACTAACCTTGCCAAATTATTGGTTATTATAGGTGTATTATAATTTATATATAATTAATTTTTTTATCTACTTAGTATTGTTTGAAAAGATTAAAATTTTACGACAGCTTATTTTTTTAAGGCAGAGAGAAATTTGGGATATTTAATATAATTTATATAATTAATTTTTTTCATCTATTGTTTGAAAAGATTAAAATTTTTATGACTTAGCTTTTTTTTTAAGGCATAGAGAAACTTGGGGTATTAATTGACCATGTGTTTAATTGAATTGGAAAAGAAGTGTTTTGCAGAGCAGATACTAATCAAATCCTTTGGCCAATACCAGGCTTTGAGCCTGATGCAAGAATAAAAGTAGGTTTTTCAATTTAATGTCACAAAACCAATTTCTAATCTGAGGCTAGAACATTATAGAACATCAGAACATTATAGAACAAAGGTCTTAATAGAAAGTAGTTAAACCTGATGCCATCTTTCAGTCCTTTGTATTCTTTGAGGACCCTGCCTATTTCCATTTATTCATTTTCTATTTAATAGCTTTGTTTTTCTTGGTTATTACATGTCTGTGGCCAAACACATCCAGAAAATACAGAAAGTAATAAGGAAGAAAATTGTTGCCTATAACCCTGCTGCTCAGAAATAACCAGTTACTGAATTGATCTGTTACTGGGAGATGACAAACTTAAAATCACACCCCCAGCCCCCTTTTCAGTTTTTTTCTATGGAGTTAATCAATCCATGTGAGCATGGTTTGTCTGAGGTCAAGAATTCTCTAGCACCTCCAGATAAGAGAACAGAGATTGAGATTGCCTTTGGGCTTGTCAGAGTTGGGCAGAACAAACTTTTCATTTTATTCCAAATGCTTTTCTACTATTTATTATGTTTTTAAACCATTTATATATATTACGTTAGTAGTTTTTTAAAAATGATAAGAACTTCTTGAACTACTGGATGGTGGAGTGTGTGTAAAGACTTGAATGTGGATTGAAAGAGAACCCTGGGCAGTTGAATTTCCTGAAATCCAAATAGAAATAGAAATCTCATTTACTGAGAGAAAATACTGTACCTCAGCAGTTTTAAGGGCAAAAGAAATAATTTTCAAATATATAAAGACCCAGTATACCTCCATGTACCTTATCAGAAGGAAATAATCAAAGAACTTCTCTAACCAAATATAAGTTCCGGCCAGGCATGGTATCTCATGCCTGTAATCCTGGAACTTGGAGGGGGTCATGACAGGAGGACTGCTTGAGCCCAGCCTGGGCAATATAATGAGACTGTCTTTATTTTATTTTAAAATAAAATTTACAAGCTTTAGAAAAAATTCTTATTAATAATAACAAATTCCAAGTAGGGGAAGATGATATAGAAACAATGGTAAATAATGAATATTGTAATATATGTCTCACATGTAAATGGAGTAGGAAGAGAATGAAGAACAAATTGAGAATTTGTAATAGGCCTTAAATAAGGATTTTTTTTCAAACCAGAGATGAAAAAGAAATTTTAGAAATTACAAAAATTTTTAGTTACCATGTCAAATCTATTACAGGTTTAGTGTTCCTAATCCAAAAATTTGAAATTAGAAACATGATTGGTCCCAAACATTTCAAATAAGGATAGTCAACCTGTATTTTAAACAACAAAGTAGTATTCAGGAAAGAAATGTTAACCTGAAGCTTCAGTTAGTTCTAATGCCAGGAAGCTTATAGAGACCACCTAGCAAAATTTTTTTTTCTAAAGAAGTAGTGAGGCCAAGCGTGGTGGCTCACGCCTGTAATCCCAGCACTTTGGGAGGCCAAGGTGGGTAGATCGTTTGAATTCAGGAGTTCAAGACCAGCGTGGCCAACATGGCAAAACCCCATCTCTACTAAAAATACAAAAAATTAGCATTAGCACTAACATCTAAGCTCTTGTCACCTCCCCTTGGAATTCCTTTTTCAAATCTTCCTTAAGAATGGGAAGACTAGCTGGGCACAGTGGGTCATGCCTGTTAATCCCAGCACTTTGGGAGGCCAAGGTGGATGGATCATCTGAGGTCAGGAGTTCAAGACCAGCCTGGCCAACATGGTGAAACCCCATCTTTACTAAAAATACAAACAAATTAGCTGGGCAAGGTGGTGGGCACCTGTAATTCCAGCTACTTCAGGAGGCTGAGGCAGGAGAATTGCTTGAACCTGGGAGGCGGA